CACCGCCCCGCCCCGCCCGCCCCGCCCCGCCCTCCACCGCCGCCCCCAACTCCGCGGGCCAAGCCGGAGGGAGGCACCGAGGAGGGAGGCGCAGGCGAGGAGGAAGAGAGCGGCGTGAGTGGGGCCGACCGACCGCGACCCGGGCAGAGCCAGCGGAGCGCGCGCAGTGGAAGGACAGCTGAGAGGACAGCTGAGAGCTGAGGCAGGAGACCTGGGAGATGCGGGGCGGCGGCACCGAGAGGTGAGCGAAGTCCCCAGGGAGACGGCAAGGGCCACACAGAGAAGAGTGGCAATGCGAGGGTGCCCATTTGCCGCCCAGACGTGCGCAGGAAGGCCAGAAAGGTGCGACAGCCAGCGGGCCGTGACGTGCCGGAGGGCACAGAGGCACGGGCAAAGGGAGGGGCGGTGCCGCAGCAGACCGCGAGAGAGGCGAGCGAGGCAGCTGGCCGGCCCGGGAGAAGTAGGGGAAGGATGGGCAAAGGGCAGGCACTTCAGCTGGGAAAAGTGACCTGGGCAGTCTCTGGCGACGCCACAGGGCGCTCACTCTTTAGGGGTAGGGGTACAACTCTCAGAAGCGGCCAGCCTTACCACCTCCTTCCACCCCAGCCTCAGTTTACCGCACTCGAGCTCATTTCTTTCCAAGCCTCCCTGAGAGGACAAAGTTCTCCAGCCAGAATTTGACTGAATCGCAATACTAGTGATAGGTGGAGGGTGGCCGCTTTCTCCTTGGCAACCTCAGGACGCTGTGGGCTGGGTTATGTTCTCCTAGTTAGAGGGACAGATGGAAAGGAGGAGAAAGACAAGCTTTTCACAGCGTTGGAGCAGAGAAAAACCGTTACCCGGTAGAGCAGGAGCCAGAGGACAAGGTGCTGGGGTGGAAAGTGGTGTGTGTGTGTGTGTGTGTGTGTGTGTGTGTGTGTGTGTGTGTGTGTGTTGGCTCCATCCCAGCCTTCACATCTCCTAGGTGACTGGGGAAATCAGAAGCCTCCTCTTCTCTAGATCTTCCTCTTCATCATTAGGAGTGTGGAACCCAAGCAGTGGGCGAACAATCCCAAGACCAAACTCTCCGCTAAGTTTCTCTCTTGGGCACTTCCATGGCTGGGCAAGCAGGTGCCTCTGGCTTGGGACCTGTTAGGGAGAGAGGACTCTTGGCTCCAGTGAAGTTGTGAGGACTGAGGGAGAAAAAGTCCCACACCCATGGTCCCCACGGGATCTGGCTTGGAAGAACTCAGTTCAGGAGCACTCAGCAGGGACAGTAGGGTGTCCCTAAGAGGCTGGGGGGGGGAGGGCACTGCCACCTTTCCTCTTCCTGCCCTCAAGTGTGGGTCCTAGTTCCAGCCGTGTCACTACTGCCAGTCAGCACCTGGCCTCCCAGCTGGTGTCCTGAGCTCCTCCTTCTGCCTTTGTGGTGAGCTCTTGGGGCCTCAGTCCCTACCTCTGGGAAATGGGATTTGTCAAATTTATGGTTGTGCCCCTCCTCCAAATTGGTGCCCTTCCCCCTGTTCCAGACTTTGGCAGGGAGGAGTTGACACTGGCCCTAGGTCACTGACACCCAGCCAGGCTCTGGAGAGACCAGGAAATGGGAAGACCCTTTGTTCCTGAGGTCTAGAGGTGGGAACAAAGATGTCTTACCAGAATCTCTGGTCATTGTGGCCTGGGAGTGCCGCGGCTCCTCTCTAACTGTGACTGACTTTGTAAACTTCAAGGTCATCATCAGGACTGAAGGAAGGTGGCCTGCAGTTGCTTCACATTCCAAGAGGTGTTTTGCACAGGCTTTTTGGAAAGGATGATGTAGGAACCACTAAAAGCAGTGATGGCCTGCACTGCAGACCTCTAAGAGCTGGACAGACAAGGGGCCAGCCCATTTCTGTTCACCTAGTAGTGATCCTGACTCCCACCAGGCAAACAGAAAATCTAGCATCTTTGGCTCCATCCCCAGCCCAGACAGGCCTCCTCTCCACTCTGTGAGCATGTTCAGTGCACCTCTGCCTAGAGGAGTCCCACTACTTCCAGCAAGAGGCACAGCCTGACCCAAGCCCCCCAGTGAAGCGAAACTGGGGTTCTGTGGTCCCCTGAGCAGATGGGCCTCAGACCCTATCTCCTGGTCTTCACCCTGCTGATCCCAGCAGAGCCCATCTGTCTGCCTCCTCCTCTTCCTCTTCCACAGCTTCTCAGGGCAAAGCTTGAGGGTGGCTTCTCAGGATGTTAGGTCCAGCCAACTCCTACCCCATCCCCTTACCTCTTATTTAGACCCTTGGATAAGAACCCTTTGTGCCCCATCCACTTGCACCCTAAGGGTCTTTCTTGCTAATACTGAGTCCTGAAGTCCTAGATCAGAAGACCCAAGGATCACTCCAGTTGTTGATCAGCTCCTGCAAGCTGAATATACTACCAGTGTGCCTCCTAGCCTTGGTCAAGTTGGGAAGAGCAGTAATTTTCAAGTTGGATGTCTCAGTAGAGATTCAGAGGAGTCTGAAGACTAGTGCAGCCCAGCCCCACTCCATTCCCTAGGTGCCCCCACCCCACCCTACACAGCTCCTTGGACGAGGGCCAAAGCTATTTCTTGAAGCCCCGGATATGGCCCGAGGCAACTCTGCCCCTGAGGAGGAAGCCATTGGGGCTGAAACACTCCTCGGACCCCTCTAAAGACACCAATCTCTTCCGGTGGGGCTGTAGTACACCCACTTAAGGACAGTCTCCCCTCAGCCTGACTCTAAGCAAATGCGCAGATAAACCCCTCTTAGGCGAAAAACGAAAACGAACTTCGGTTAGGACCTCTCTTCTCAGGAAGTGTCGAGGCATTGCAACGTTGTAGGCGAAAGCCTTTCCCAGAGAACAGGATTCCCCCTCCAAGTAGACAACAGCCAAAGAAGGGAAATCCCCACCCTGGAGCAGCCACCGAGCCGGGTGCCGGGACCGCGGAGGCCTCCAGACGTCGCGAAAATCCCGGAAACCCTGCGCTCGCTCGAGGCATGCACAGTGGAAAAGGTGACCTCAGCGCCCCGGCCGGCAGCCCTCCGGGAAGCCTGGCAGAGAGGGGCGAGGGGCCGCAGCGCGTCCTCGTTGCCTCGGACCCGCGAGTCCCTGGCCTACTACGTTTTCGGTCGCAGGAAAATCTCACTTCTTTGTACAACCGAAGCTCCGTAGCACCAAAGTGCATTTTCCAGATCCTCCTCCCCTCCAACTCCGAAATTCTTCCCAAGGGCTCTTCCCAGAACTGCGGCGTGCGCAAAGCGGTCCCTGAGCGACTGTACAGATGCGCAGGCGAGCGCAGGGGCGGCGGCCCGGAGCCAGGTCCAGGTCCCTCAAGGGGGCTTCTTGAAGGGGGGACTTCCCGCCAGCCCTGCCTAGGTCGCCCGCTTATTTCATTGCGTTCTCTCTTCCGCTTGGCGCGGGTTTCTGTTTTACTCCACCAAACGAAGTTGGACGCGGGGTAGAGAGGAGGTTCCTGTAGAAGGGTAACTTCAACTCTGTATACAGTCTGCCAAACGACCAGCAGTTGACTCAGGGGACTGAGGGGCCTCGGTTCGCCCAGGAGCCCCGCGCCCAGGGCATTTCTTTCCCTAAGGACGTGATGGGAGTTTCCCACTTCGGGACAGTCTCCCCTCAGCCTGATCTACTTTTTCTTTACGCCTGCGGTTCCAGTTGCCCTGGCCCAGGATGGGCTGACGATGGCGGCAGCGACAGTAGTGTTCAGTTGGCAGGTTGACAGGCAGGCAGGAGGGAGCGGTTGGGGCTGACTGAGGCCTGCTGGACCTCGGAATGCACCGTGCGCCTTGCCTTGCGCTCTTGCTTCTTGCGGACGGGCGAGATTTGCGCCGTGCACCACGGAGAACTGGGCTTATTGAGTCGCCCTGTCTCTTGCCCCTGTTGGCAGGTCACTCTCCACGGGTGTGCCAGCTCGTCTGCCTTTTCTGGTCTCTGTGACCCTTTCTTTCATGAAAATTTCCACATCAACTGTGGACTTTCGTTTTGAGTCATTTCAAACGCCTGCGGGGCTCAGGGTCAAATTGCATTTTGGGTGACTTGGAGCCTCTACACGCAGCTTTGCTTCCTCGAATTCCCTTCTGGATCTCGGTACCCATATGAGCCTTTGGTGTTGCTTATTTTATTTTTGTTTTGCAGGGTTTGTTTGTTTTATTTTTAATATGTACTTTCCCATAGAAGTGTGTGTTTTAAAAGATTAATTCATAGGTAGATAACTGATTTCTCAGACCCTGAAAGGACCCTGTTCAAGGTGGCTTGGTCAGTCAGGTCCCCTGTTCACACTTGCACCTGGCCCTCCCTGGCCCTCTTGGGTGACTCCCACAGAGACTTTGAATCAGAGTCCGGTCCTGGTTCCAGGAATTAGGACCTCAAAGAAAATGCTCCGTACCCTGCCCTGGGTGTGCTGCTGAGTGGACAGCCACATTCCTAATTGCCATGTGCAACAGTGTCAAGTAGCTCTGGGCTTGGGGATGTGGAGAAAACCATATCTAGGTGGGTACCAGGCTGCCAGCTTGCTACCTGGCTCCTACCCTGCCTTCACTGTAGTCACCACACTGTGTGACCAGGACAGAGCCTCCACCTGAGCAAGTGAGGCCCCAGAGGCAGCTGAGTGCTGCTGCATGCCAGGATGTGGCATTTCCCTTACTCTTTCTCTTTGCTTTTCCTCTCTTTCTTTGCTTTTCTTTTCCCCTCCACCCACTCCCTTTTCCTTCCAAGTCCTGTCCTATCTCTGCTCTTGTTCTTGCTTTCCTTCCCT